AAGAAGAAGAAGAAGAAGAAGAGGAAGAAGAAGAAGAAGAAGAGAAGGGAAGGGAAGGGAAGCTATCTTTAAGTATTTCAACGGTTATCATGTGGAAGAGTGAAGGGGGCTTATTATGCCCTGGGGAGGGGGAAGAGGAGGGGAGAAAACCAGGAGCAATGGATGGAGGTTACAAGAAGGCAGATTTTGACAACAAAAAGAGAAAACTTTCTAACAATTTGAGTTAACAATAAGAAGAATGGGTTGCTTTGTAGGAGTTGGTAATAAGTTCTTGTGGAGAGTCTTCTAATAGAATTGAATGACCATGAGTTAGTGATGTTACAGATGGGATTCATATATTTAGTATGGGGTGGACCAGGTGACCATTCCAAGTCTGATTCCATGATTCCAAGATTCATACACACTCTATTTCCAGTGGGGGTGGGGAGGGGAGAGAAAGTGTTAGGAGGGAGAGGAAGATGGCTCTAAAGTTATATCACTAGTTTCTAGCATTAATTATTTGTTACCCTTCTATTGGTTCTTTTGCTTCTCATTAAATTATCAGATCAGAGATTTTATTGTCTTCTTCCTCACTCCCTACTTAGACTCACAGAGCTATGCAGACCCCTCAGGCCAGCTGAGACTTCTAAGCAATTCCTGCTTCAATCAGTTGTAACCTGCAGATGATTATCAGAATGCCAAGACATTCAAAGGAGAATATCAGAATTTCCCCTTCAATGCAGATCCGTCAGATTTGGAAATGACATCGTTGGAAAGAAACAAGTTCTACTACTAGGCATCACCAGAACAAGACAGTCAAGGTACAAGCTGACTCTCATTATAACACACCCACAGGTTGTTCACTTCTTCACCCATAGCCAAGAGGCCTTTAGAAAGGTGCAAAACCGTCATCTGTCTGAGAAAGTGTCATGGGAAACAAATTTCCATTTTGATCCCTCCCAGCTGAAAAACCACACCAAACGTTACTGCCTTGGGAAGGAAGGCCAAAGCAGCAGTGGATCATAATGAGTTCAAACCAGGAGTCTTTGTAATACAAGCCTGAACACCCAGAGCTGGAAAAACCACACTGGTTCTGTAGAATGTCACAAATGTATAAAAGACAGGGTCCTCTGTCTTTGTCAACAAGGACAGAGAGAAGAGAGGCAAAATTTCTCTCATTCTGAAAAATGGTTCTTCCATTTCTTTCTTTCTTTTTTTTTTAAGAAGGAAAAGAAAAGAGGAAGCACACACCATGTTTCCGAGCTGCACTTTTATTTTTAGGCAGATCCAAGGATTTTGCACCTTCTATTAATTCATCAAAACTCATTTCTCAGCCACTGGATGATGAATACACTGTTTCTAGAACCTAGCAGGGCCATGGAAATATCAGGGAAGCAATGACAGCTCTGTTTGTTAATATTCCATAGATGCATTAGCATTGGAAATGCCAAGAGGGAGGAGCCCTTAGCTGTTTCTCCAGTTTCTTCATAATAAGCACCATTGTACACATTGTCTACTCAAAGTTTAATGAGTTTTAATAATATCCCTTGAAGGAAGGGAGTGTCTTGTATTCACAGAAACATCCTTGTGAATTTATACCAAAGTATCTTATTTGCTTTCTCCACTGAGCTGGAATCTTGCTCTGGAGGCTGGAGGCACTGCTCAATGGACTGAGCAAGTTTCCATCCTTTCAACAACACCTAGACTTTCTCCTTTGTGTGGAGAATGAGATCCTTAATTGATGACAAATACAGCTTATGTGTGCAGCAGATGTGGGCAGACATGTAACCAGACTGAGAGTCCTACTCAAGATTCCCTTCAGACCAGCTCCCCAGAAAGATCCTTAGACTTAAGACTTTTTGGACCATAGAAGAGCACTGAGATTTAGAGTCTGACACTCTCATTTTCCAGATGGGAAAAATAAGGCCCTGAGAAATGAAATAATTTGTCCACAGTCCAGTATGCTTTTTCCATCATAGAATCATGTAAGTTGTTTATAGTTTCATACCATAGTATGATACTTTGCAAAAAAAAAATCATCCTTCATTTCCACTGGCTACTTGTAGCTAAATTACTAAATGACACATAAATGCATATATATATATGCATATATGTGTGTATGCATATTTTAGACATGGCCAGTGCGGCAATGTATTTTGCTTAACTATGCATATTTATTACAAGAGTTTCGCTTTTCTTTTTTTGTTTCATTTTGTTTTTCCATGAAGGTGGAGAGGGAAGGAGAGGGAAAGAAAATAAAATTTTATTAATTAAAAAATAAAATTAGATTTATGATAGATATGGATAGGTATCCACCCAGGATAATGCCTTCATATCAACTTCTCATAAAGATGCTCAGACTTAGGATCTTGGGATCATAAGAGATTTGTTGAAGTTTAAACTGGAAATCAAAAGAAAAGACTAGTGGTATTCATCCTGACTCTACTATGATCTAGCTCTCTGACTTTAAATGAATTACTTAACTACTCTAGGCCTCGGTTGTTTTTTTTTTTTTAGTTATAAAATGAGTGAAGATGGGCCTAGATTATCTCTGCTTCCTTCCAACTCTGATACTTAATGGTTCTCTGTCTGTAGGTCAGTGGCTTCCAACCATGGTTTTGTGATGGCTCGAGATTTCTCTAATTATTTTAGACCTCCCTCCCTCAAATCCAATTCAATTGCAAGTCACGTCATCATCTTCCTGACATCATGTCCCCCTAGAGAACAAAGGACAAACCATACACAATTATTTTAAGCTATATAAAAAAAGAGGTCTCAAAATCCAATTCATTTAAATCACTTCAATTTTTACAGTAATGAAACTTTGAAGGGGAAGAAGCGGGGAGGGTGGGTGAAGGGGAAGGGGAGGAGAATAGTGTATGTTTTGAAATCAAGGAAGTAAGAGTAGGCTGTCACCACCCTAAAGTTTCCAAATCATTACTCTTTAGAGTGGGACTGAATAAAAGAAAAAATTGGGGGATAAAGCATTGAAACCTAAGTATACCCAAAGCATGAGAACTTCAGAGAAGAGGCTTCATAGAAGAGCCTGAAGAATTCCATACAATTATGTACATTTGTGCTTAAAAGCCTGCCTGTCCATAGCCACTGGGATGCTCTCTTATATATTGGTCTCACTAAACTACATCCTACTAGATTTGTAAGTTCCATGAATGCAGATACTTAACAAAACTTTGTACTTCCCTTAGTGCCCAGAAGAGTGGTCTGGACAGAGAAGGCCATTAATCAATGTTTATTGAATGAAAATAGGAATAAATAGACATGCACATGAACTTCTGCTTGATTATACAGTCAATGACAGAGTGTTGCTACCTGTGGGTCCTTTACGGAGTTGTAATGGTGTTTCTGATCCATATGGATTCTGCCAAGCAAGAAAGGAAAGAATTTAAGGCCACAAATAGGGCCAGCGTCCTTCCCTGCTTTCTTTCTCCCATCTGCTATTTAATTCTATTCCCTGCAGTCTGCCCATTTACTGTTACTCTCCAAGTCCACCAAGAAACATTATGTATTGTACAACAAGCTTCTCCTCTATCAAAGATGTGTCTTGCTGCTCTCATCCTATGAGATATGGCCTCAACAGAATAACATGTACAGAAGGAGGAGAAGGGGTGTAAAAAGTGAGTAGCCTATTCTGCTACCTCATTTTTATGGACTGGTTAATGGTCTAGTTTGCACCAAGTCTTCCAAAAACAATAGGAAGGTAATTAGCTTGGTTTGGCCAAACAGTCAACCAGTGATAAAAGGCAATAAATGGTAATAAATGAAAATACAAAAAAACCTAGGTTTACAATCAACACACCTTTAAACATTTTATTATCATCTTAAATGAGAAGGTTTAGAGTTTTAATTACATAATTAATAGCCCAAGAAGTTACTTGTCTCTACAAAAACACACCAACTTAAAGCACCAAAGAATTAACTCTGTTGGAGCTCTTAAGGGCTCCTTGGGCATATAGGAGTGCAAATTATATGTTCTTTTATAGAAGGCAACCATGGCTGAAAACCTCTGATCTTTCAGGTGAAACTGCTCCCAAAGAGGCGGTAGATGTTCTGTTGTCCTTAAGAGGAGTCATCTTACTGGGTGGCTGCCGGGCAACCTAATAACACATGAGGAGCCCTCAATAAAAGCATCCTTCTTGAGGTTTAAGTGAACTTGTAGTTGACTTCAAAAGCGCTCAAGTCCAATAGTCAGCAATAAAGGACTTGTACAAGAGCCCTAAATATGCATGGAAGCTAAAATTCAATGTAAATATCAAAGCTTTCTTGTTTCAATGTTAAATTTCCATGTTTTTACTTTGAATGTTATATAATAAATAGCTGTCATCTTGAAATACAGCAACCTGGTTTTCAAGGGCACTCAAATATTTTTTAAGAGGTAGAATAGGGAGCAGCTAGGTGGTACAGTGGATAGAGCACCGGCCCTAGAGTCTGGAGGACCTGACTTCAAATCCGGTCTCAGACCAGACACTTGACACTAGCTGTGTGACCCCGGGCAAGTCACTTAACCCCAATTGCCTTGCCAAAAAAAAAAAAAAAAGTAAAACAGACCCCATGGGAGCAGATGTTCCTCCTTGATTTCTCTTTGTCCTTTTCATGGGTTGGTCAGACAGGAAGAGTGACATGGCTGATCATACCACTTAGATGAGCTGGGAGTCACCATCTAGAAGCCTTTCAAAGAGAAGAAACCATTACCATCAGGTCTGTCACTGCATCCTTAACTCCTTGGGGCCTTGGATATGCCTTCCAGATCCTTGGGCCCTGCCATATGATCTGCTGATTCAGTCTTAGAACTTCCAGGTTTTTCTATTTGCCCTGCAACTAAATTTTTTTATTTACAAAGTCCCAAAGAATACAAATAACGAATCCTATTAAGTAGTCACATTATTCAAATTTACACTGCATATTTCCACAGGGACAGAGCCAATTGCCTTGCTTTACTTAATTATAACTTCAAACGGTATGAATTCCAATACTTGCAATCCCTTCACAGGATTCATTACTTAAATTAATTGGGACTCAACTGTATGGTGAGTTCCCACTCTTAGAGTGTGAACTCCTTGAAAGCAGGAACTATGCCCTTTTGTTTTGTTTTGTTTTTGCTATTTGTGTTTCTAGCACTTAGCGTAGTGTTTATCGTATAGTTAATGCTTTCATAAATGCTTTTCCTTTCCTTTTCATTCATTTATCATCCAGCTGGAAAAAAAGAGGGTTGGGGTTCCCTTTTCACTTGTATCACTGTCTTGCCCAGGAAGCTTCTTAGGACCATAAGATAATTGCATTTAGAGCTGGAAAGGACCTTAGAAGCCATGTTACGTAAGGTTTTCATCTCATATGAGGAAATGCAGGACTAAGGAAAGGAAATGTCTGGCCTGAGGTCAAACAAGTATTAAGTAATAAAGCAACAATTTGAACCTAGGTCTTCTGACTCCAAGTGCAGGGTTCTCCCCACTGTGTCATCCTGGTTAATGTCCATCCCTATAACTCGATTTCCTCATCCCTGAAAAAAAAAGTTCATTAAGGTTTATGAAAATAATGTCATATTCCTCCTCCTCTTCAACTCGTTATCCATTAGCAACATACTACTATGGCTCTGGATTCAATTAGATTCATCCACATGTCTTTTAAACATTCAGTTTCTTGAGGAGCAAGGTCTGCTACATGTCTGCAAAGAGGATCCTTTCACTGAAGCCTCAATTTGGGAGTAAAAGTATTATTATAATTATAATACCTACTGCCTATCTCAGGGCAGAGACCAATGGGAAAATGTTTGTAAGGTCCTTTGTGTTCCCCAAATGTTATTATTTCAATTGACCTAGATTTGCTATCATAAATCTACTGAGAGGTGCTCTGAGTATGTTTCTCTAGGAGGGGGAAGGTGCTTTCCCCTCCCTGTCTGTGTGCAGGCAGCAGGTTTCTGAGCATGCCTCTCATACCACGGCACCTTTTGGGAGCATTGTCAAAATAAAGACTGGGTAAAGATAAAACAGGGCAATAGGAATGAGGGACTCCATTGCAATTGCAACAAGCTACAGTATGGCCTGACAGGTGCCCTTGAATCACTAGGATTTAGGACACATAAGTTACCACACAGCTAGTCATATGGCATTTGTGGAGTAGAGGAGGGTCAACTCTTCCCCAGAGGGAGCCAGATTGGACTACATAGTTTTTAAGACTCCTACTCTAGATAACTGGTCTAGACTACACTATGTCTTCCTTTGTGCCTCAAGGAAGCTCCCTCAGCCCAACTCTAGAGTCTGCAGTGCCCAGATGGCTACCTCTCCTTTCCTGGAGTATAGACATTCCTCTTCCCAGTGAGAGAGCTCATCAGGACAGGTGGTGAGAAGTGGCCCTTTCCCTACATTTTTCCCCTCTCCAAAAAAAATACCTGATCTCTGGGAATTCTGGTCTTTTTTTCCTGTTAGCAAGTGGAATCTGCTTGTTTATTTATTTAACTATATGGGTGGGGTCACTTTAAGTGTGTGTGTGTGTGTGTGTGTGAGTGTGTGTGTGTGTGTGTGTGTGTGTAATACATTCACATCATGGCTACCCAATTGAATTTTAAGTTTCTGGAGGACAAAGATTGTCTAGCACATTTTTATTGTCCAAGAACCTAGTACCATCACTTCACACATAATGCATGCCCCCCCCACCAAAGAACTATTGACAATGATGCCAACTTTGCAAATTGACTATCCCCTCTGTGTACTTGGCACTCTCCACAGACCAGTGACCTTAACAACCATTTGTCTCCTGTATCCCAAGAGCTATGTTGCCAAAACTGTGATTACTGGAAACAACATTACTGAATGTAAACCTAAAATTCCCAGAGGCATGGCATTCAGGAGGTTCCACTCATAATACATGACTTCACACCATGACCTCTATCCATAAGAGGTAGAAGTAAAGTGTTACATGAGTTCTGAGAAAGGAGAGAACTCTTCTGACTAGGTAGATCAAGGAAAGCTTCATGGAGTCAGTGTCATCTATTTGGGGCCTTGAAGGACGGATGGGATTTCAATTGATAGAACTGTGAGAGGTATAGGCAATGTGGGGAGCAAAGGCTTGAAGATGGTTAATTGTGTGGACTGGGTAAGAGGAGGGATTTCTATCCCCACAGAGGAATTATTTTCCTTCTCATATCATCCTTTTTTTGACCTCCTCCTGTTCCTAAGATTAGAAGAAGAAACATTTCCAGCTCTTCTCCTGTGTATTAGTTCCTGTCTAGAAGGAGCTACTCACCTGTGTGCCCTTGGCCCAGTAACCTTGCTGGGGCTGTTTCCTCATCCGTATAATGAAAGAAATAGACTAGCTCTGGTCTGTAGGGTCCTTTCTCATAACCCTGTGATTCTTCTCTAAATCCAGGTGTGCTCTGCCATCATTCTGGGGCCAAATAGCCTGTGTCTTAGATTTTCCAAAATCACCATGTTTCACAGTACAACATGTCTCTACATTCAACTTCTTGTACTCGGAACATTCTTTTAAAGCTAATAACTCCCAATGCTAACCCTTAAGCCTCTGCAACTTTTGCTCCTTGTAAGGGAATCAATATTCTCAGAGGATCAGGCCCACAGTCTGTTACACTGCAAAGAAAAACAACAGGGTGTGGTTCAGAGAAATGTGCAGAGACCCAGCCAAACAAAAACCTCCATATATGGCCCTAGAAAAACCACTCTAGCAGCTAAAGCAAACAGGTACTGTCAGTCCACTTACTCCCGGCAGAAATCTGCACTCCAGGATGGGTAAACACAAATAGAACAAAGCCCTCTCATGGCATTTTTTCCAGGAAACAGCTACTAAAAACTTCTTAGAGGTGGGGTGGGGAGGGGGAAGGTATAGAGATTGGGAAAGTATTTGTAGGGAGTCAAAATGAGGCTATGGACCTCAACACTTGAATATGGAGGGCACTTAGTCCATTTAGATCTCTAGGGTGGAGAAAAACCTTGGTGGGCACATTTGAATAGACTGGCCAGAGTCTGCCCAAGGAGGAGTATCCCTGATGGGAAATATTTGAAGGTGAAACCCCAGTGTAATAAAAGGGACTTGAGGGGAAACCTTCTCCTGGATGTCTCTCTACGAGTCTTAGGAATAGAGTCACATGGCATCCCAGAGCCCAGTGAGAGGCTGTTGCTGGGAGGAGACAAAGTAATATGTAGTAATGTGTCCGGAGGATAAAAGGAGGTGCTTGACCAGAATGGAGACTCCTGCAACCTTTTAGCACCAGCTATTCTGTCTTCTCCATTTACATTATTCTTCTCTTGTCAGCACTAGCTGCTCCCTTGTCTCTTTTTTGGGCTTCAGTCACACTAATTCTAACCCTAATGTCACCCTCACTCTTTCTCCTTCATTGAAAACTCTCTCTCTCTCTCTCTCTCTCTCTGTATATGTGTGTGTGTGTCTGTGTCTCTGTGTCTCTGTATCTCTCTGTCTCTGTCTCTGTCTCTCTCTCTCCCTCTTTATGTTAGCACCCTTGTACAATGGTCTCAGGGAACCCAAGTTAATGAAGATTTGGTTTCCCCAGATAAACATCTGAAGTGATGAATTTTCAATGGTCCCTGGACAGGGGACAGGGTATATTAAATGAGGTAACTGAACAACACCAAGGGAATCAGTCAGGTAGGCTGATACATGGAATGACGGGAAGGTGAAAGGCCAAGGATGTCTCTAAGAGGTTAGCAAGCCAAAGAGCAGATAGGAGACCAGATGTTCATTCTATAGTCATTCGACAAACATTTATTAAACACCTACTGTGGACAGACTATTGTACTAGGCAGTGAAGATGACAGAAAGTTTAGTTAAGCTAGGGTAGGGTCACTGCTCTACATAGGAGGGTGATGAGACTGAAGCACAGATAATTACAATATATGTTACATGACAGGAGAATTAGGGAATTACAGAACAAAGTACTCTATGAGTTCCAAGGAGAAAAGTTGTTACCAACCAGAGATATTAGGGAAGACTTCATAGAAGAGGTAACATTTTAATTAGATATTAAGAGATGAGTTAGAGGATCATAGATATAGAGCTGGAAGGAGATTTCAGAGGTCCTCTAGTTCATACCTTTCATTTCACAGATGAGGAAACTGATAACCAAGGAAGTTATGTAACCTGCCCAAGTTTACATAGATAGATAGTAAGCATCAGGGTTGAACTTTGAACCCAGGCCCTCTGAATCCAAAGCCCTGGCAAATTTCACTGTACCACTCTCAGAATTCAATCATTGAAGAGAGGCCAGGAGGATGCTCCAGGAACAGAGGAAAAGATGAGCCCCAGATAAGAGAAGTGTTAAGAGAGTAGATGGGAAGCCAGAGATCTGTTTCTAAGTCAGAGGTTCTTAACCTGGGGTCATACAGATGATAATTAAACCCATGGGAACTAATGAGGTCACCAAAAGAGAGAGAGAGAGAGAGTAAAAAGAGAGTAAAAAGCCTAAGACAAAGAATTAGGGAATGCACAGACACACACACACACACACACACACACATATGCACACAGGCACAAAAGATTAAGAACCTCTGATCTAAGTGGACAGGCAGGCAGGGAGCTGTCCAGAGAGGGAAAAGAGGACTAAGGATCTGTGCCCAAGTAGAAAGAAGACCAGAAAAGCTGTCCAGAGGGGATCAGAAAAGGTTTGAGGTTTTTTTTGTTTTGTTTTGTTTTGTTTTGGTTTGGTTTTTTGTGTTTTGGAGATGGGAAGAAGAAAGGCATTCCTGTGACAGGTTTTAAACGTACACATAGAAAAAGAGTTCAGCAGAACACATCCCATTGGAAAACTTCCTAAGAAGAAACTTAAGAGAATTTTACTGCTGGGATAACTAAGCCCACAGGGAGTATTTGTCCAACAAGAAAAACCTGAACTTTGCTGTGTTTTTCCCCTTCTATCAGAACTCCATGTAAAAGGGCCATGCCACAGTATTCCTCAAGGCACAAGACCCCTCGTGGTTATAGCATCACAGGACCCCCATTAACTTTGTTTCTGTGCTGGGTGTTGCTGACAATGCCAAACCCACCCACTGGCCCTGAGGCTTCTGCTTTATCAAGTCAAGCCCTTTTCAGGTCCCACTCCCCTTCCACTACACAGAGGGAAGAAAGCTAAATTCAGTCAAGGTTGAGAAGAGAGAAGAAGGCTTTGCAATTAAATTGCTAATTAAGGAAGTACAAACCTGAAGAAGCTAATTTGCTCTGGCCTATTTAAAATATCTAGTCACAGATCATGCATGAATTGAGGTTCGGCTCTTTTATACATAAGCCAACTGGCTTCCTTTCAGAGCAGTAGCTATCAATAATTCCATGCTGGGGACCATCTGATAGGAAATCAACCACTGGCCCCTGGAATGCCTGCATTCCCCACTGCTCTGTTTTCCCAGTTGTCAGCTCTGTTTATAAATTGTCCATTTATAGCAAATCCAGCACCTGCTATGAACACCTCATCCTGCCAAGTGTCGCAGTGCATCTCAGAAAGAGCTACTATAGACTTTTACAGTTCTTTTTAACCTTTTCCCAACCCAGGGGTTAGGACATTTGCATAGGAATTCTGAGGGAGGACTTACTGTGCACAGAAAAGGCTAGATAGCCCATTAAAAGTTAGCATTTTGCTCGGCTTAGGAAAAAAAAAAGAAGCAAATTATCAGCCTCTTGGGAGATACAATGGCCTCTTTCTTGACAAATCTGACATTGGGACACATTTGAAATATCCCCTAAAAAATCCAGAAGGAAAAATATTCCAGAGGAAAGTTATGTGAGAGCTTTTTTTTTTTTTTTTACTGTAACAAACATGCCATTTCTATAGTTAATGCCCAACATTGCTGCTAAACAGATAATACTGAAAACTGCTCAAAAGATGTTTAAAGATGACATCCTCTTAAAGCTGGAAGTCCAATATCTGACCTAGATTTTTTTCTTGCACTATATCTGTTTGCAAAAAGCATGGAATTATTTCTCCAAATTCTGTCCCCTTTCTCCATCCCTCAAATGCTTCTGTTTACTTTGTTCCTTAAAAAGAAAAGAAGAAAAACAATATGTATGTCAGGAGAATATTCAGGGGAATATGGTTTAGTGGTTAGGGAAGGTGATCAAAGGTCAAGATGAAAACTTGCTGGCAACTTCAATGCCATCATATCTCCCTGCCTCAGTTTCCCAGTGATTACAATAACATTTCATAAGTATATCTTTACTGTGCCCAAAGGGCTATAAAACTGTGCATACCCTTTGACCCAGCAATACAATTACTAGGTCTGTATCCCAAACAGATAATAAAAAAGGGGAAATGACCCACATTTATAAACATATTTATAGCAGCTTTTTTGAGGTGGCAAATAACTGGAAATTGAGGGGATGTCCATCAGTTGGGAAATGGCTGGACAAGTTGTGGTATATGAATGTAATGGGATACTATTGTGCTGTAAGAAATGATGAGCAGACAGATTTCAGAAGAACCTAGAAAGACTTCTATGGGCTGATGCTGAGTGAAGTGAGCAGAACCAAGAGAATGTTGTACACAGTAATAGCAACATTATTCGACGACCAACTTTGATAGACTTAGCTCTTCTCAGCAATACAATGATCTAAGATAATCCCAAAAGACTCTTGATGGAAAATGCTATCCACACCCAGAGAAAGAACTATGGAGTCTGAATGCAGATCAAAGCATACTATTTTTCTCTTTTTTTGTTTTTTTTCTTTTTCATGGTTTTTCCCTTTTGCTCTGATTCTTCTTTCACAGAATGACTAATGTGGAAATATGATTATATATGTATAGCCTATTTCATATTACTTGACATCTTGAGGAGAGGGAGAAGAGGGAGAGAGAGAGAAAAAATCTGGAATTCAAAACATTATAAAAGTGAATGTTGAAAACCATCTTTATATGTAATTGGAAATAACAAAATACTATTAAGTGGGGGAAAAGTATATCCTTGCCATCCTTATAAAGAGGAGAAATAAAGTAAGTGGACATGGGACTGAGGCAACTGGGGTTAGAATTTTCCCAAGTTCTGCATTGAGCCAACAAGGCTGGGCAACCTTTCTTAAGAGAGAATTCAGAGACACTTCGGTTACTTAATATTGTAAAACACTTTGAGGTCTCTGGAGTAAAGATTGTTGGGGCAAAGTCATCATTATTACCATCATTACCAATGAACCAATGTGTCCAGGGACTAGGGGAAAAGTTTATTAGGAGTATTAGAAGTGGAGGCAAAAGTGGAGGAAATAATGATGAAAATTCCCTTCATAAAGTATCCTTCCCATACCCCTGTCTTTCTTTGCAACGGCCAGGTATACTAAAGCAATACCATTTTGTGCCTTCCAAATCGATTGCCACTCCAACTTTCGAGTCTAATCTCTAATTAATTCCTTCCATACATTCTGTAATCCTGAAGCATGAGCCTCTTCTGTACAGAGTGGCGGCAGTTATAGCCATCATGGGGACCGGGGGTCTTTGCTCCAGGCTCTGAAGTTACTCCAGCTTCGGGGTGGAGAGCCGAAGGGGGTGGAGAGCCGAAGGGAGTGGGGCCACATGGAGCCCCTGGAGGAGGTCTACAGAATGGTCCACTTATATGAAGCCAGGACTGGCTGTACTTCCTATCTCTGTATCTTTGCTCGTGCTATTGAAATCTCCTCTGACTCTTTACCTACTGAATTCTTATTCATTCTTTAAAGACTTATTCAAATGTCCCCTTCTCTACCATGCCTTCCCTGAATTTTTGTGAGTGATGGTCTTACCTTTGGACCTTCCCTAGCATTTTCCTTTGCCTGTCCCTAATATAATATTGTGACTTAGCATCAACCATGTTTGTGGTTTGCTACCAAACTGTTAACCTCATGAAGGACAGCCACATTTTATCTGAATTTTGTCTCTTGTGCATCACAATAATAATAGCTAACATTTAATAATAAAAGCTAACATTGCTTTAAAGTTGGCAACTTTACATATATTTTACTTGGTTCTCATAACAACCCTATGAGATGGGCGCTAATACTATATATTTTACAGATGAGGAAATCAGGGTGGGAGAGGTTAAGCAGCTTGCCCACTGATAGTGTTTGGAGTAGGATTTGAACCCAGATTCCAAATCAAGTGCTATATCCACTATGCTACCTGGCTACCTATTCCCTGTACCCACTGGATGTTGAATAAGTTTTGGTCACTTCTCACTGCCTTATTCTCACAGTATTTACAATAGTATATAAAACCTATATTCAGTTAATGTTCTGCAGATAGCAGATGCTTTCTTAATAGATGTTTGTTGAATAAATTCACTTTGGGGTAGCATGTGGCCTTTTTTTACATTTTATGCAGACCAAACTAGGATAACAGAGACAAAAATGACATCCTAATCCAGTAAAAATCATCTTTGCTTACTTTTTAGCCATAGCAGGAAGGGATTTTATGAGCCTGGATTCTTCAGTTCTTTGCTTCATTCCCAAGGCAGATTAGTCTCACATTCTCATCTGGGCTGCGACTGAAGAGAGAAATGTGAAAGCTGGTGACTGAGAATCAAAGTGAAAACCCACTCATCTACCCCCTAATCTATGATTCTAGTGTTAAAAATCATCTGTAGGTACTTTAAAAAAAAAAAACCAACTTAATAGCCATCCAAGACAACAGCTCTAGACTCTTCTGGTGTATGGACTAGTAGTGAGGGGAATTCTACAGATCAAAATTCATATTCTGCCCCCAAAAATAGACAAGAGGAAACCTTTGAAGCCAAAGAAGGGCCAAGAATAGATGTCAGTAAGAGAACTAGAGCCACATGGACAGGAAGCCATGCTCAAGTTGCAGCTTTGTGCAGCATTTTTTCCCCGGTAGTACTTCACATTCATCCTTCTAAAAAGATAGCTTTCAGAAGCCTGCCTTCCCTTCAACATCAACACATCCTGACTTCACTGCTGGCTTTCCTGCAGTCATTCAGTGGCTGTATCACTTCAGAGCAATTGCTATTGGGTTTTTCCCCCAGCAATGATCATTCCAATCTGATTTGAGTATGGATAGCTAATTCCTAACAATAGTAATAATAATGGTAATAATAATAATAATAAACATTTTATATCACTTCAAGGTTAATAAAGTAATTCACATACTATGTCTCATACCTTTAAAAAAAACAGTATCTTCCTCACAAAGTTGTTGCAAGGTAATGAGATAACATATAAAGCACTTTTTCAAGTTTTAAAGCTCTAAGGGCTAGCTATTAATGAAGTATCTCCTTCATGTTTTATTGGAAGCCACCATAAGACACAATGAGTATAGTATAAAGTAATGGCTTGGGGGGCTTGGAATGGGGGAACTTAGGTTAAAAGCCCACATCAAATATTTATTAGCTATGTAACCCTGGGTAAGTACCTTAACTGATAGGAGGATCAGTTTCATCATTTGTCAGATGGGTATGATAATAATAAGGCAGGTAAGTAGCAAAGTGGATAGAGCACTGGGCTTGGAATCAGGAAGACTCATCTTCATGAGCTCAAACCCAGCCTCAGCCATTTACTAGTGTGACCCTGGGCAAGTCACTTAACCCTGTTTGCTTCAGTTTCTCATCTGTAAAATGAGCTGGAGAAGGAAATGACAAACCACTCTGGTATCCTTGCCAAGAAAACCCCAAATAGGGTCACAAAAGTTAAGACATCACTGAAATGACTGAACAATAACGACAACATAATAATAATGGTATCCACCTCACATGGATGCTGTGGGGATCAAATGAGATAATGCATGTAAAAGCAGCTGACAAATCTTAAATCACTATTTACATGTCAGTTACTATTATTAGCTGTTCACACATAAGTATTTTTCACTTTTAATAATTTTTACATTTTCAGCTTAACCTTCTTTCTATACTTTCTTTGCCCTTGGATACCATTGGCCCAGACATATGAAGTTTGTCTTTCCTTGTGAAAGTATAATCATAAAATACTTTATTAAGATTTGGACTTCTGGGAAAACTAGGTGGCACAGTGGACAGAGCACCTGCCCTGAAGTCAGGAGGACCTGAGTTCAAATCCGACCTCAGACCAAACACTGGACACTTACTAGCTGTGTGACCCTGGGCAAGTCACTTAACCCCAATTGCCTTAAAAAAAAAAAAAGATTTGGACTTCTGAGTTGCTGGAAATACTCTTCATAAATGTAAGTGAATTTGTAAATATCATCTAGAAGTCATGTCAGTTCAAAGGTTTATTTGTTTGAGGGGCTGGGGAGAATATGGTAGAAGATGAATAAGCATATTCCAAAGAAGTCCAGAGAGGACAGAAAAGTGACAGCAATCATTGGGGATGGTTGGTGGGCACCAGAATGTCTGATGCAGTGGTCAGGTAAAATCTTAGGAGGTATTTGTGATGGAGCAGCGAGGGCAACAGGCATCTTAGAGAACGGAATATGTGTTGAGGAGAAAGGCCGGAGATAGAGAAACATGGAAGAAGACTAACAGCTAGAGAGATTATAGAGAAATTTAAATCAGATCACCAAAAGCCAGTCCTTTTACACTATGGACACCCTTGGAACATGGAGAAAAACCACATCTAGGGAGGAGAAAAGATCAAATCATAGGAATACTGCTCTGTAAAAACCATTCCCTGAGAAATGGCCTAGTACCTGGTTATCTAAAGCAAAACACTAGAGTTGGGAATTCAGCCAGACTAATATATGTTACAGTAAGTACATTCAAAATCTAGTTCTACACATAAACATATTTTAGCCTGCCTATTCACGGTGTAGTCAAGGCATCTGATCAGGACCCAAAGAAAATCTTAATGATGGGCTTAGGCAGGCCAAATAGCAGCTGGCTGAAGATCTAGCCAGAGCTCCAACTAGGAATGCTGCTGCAGGGTTAGCATGTCAACAACATCCTCTATCACTGTGGGTTTTCTTAGGGGCCTTTTTGCTCAATGTTCTTGAGTGAAACCTCTTCCTGAAACCCACATATTTTTCAGGCCAAGAATCATGGCCATAATGCACACACCAGACCATGTAGATAATTATAGATGCAAAGAGCAATTTGTCAGTTACCTGAGGTTCTTTTTCCCTCCATGAGGATGTACATAATCTGCCTTCAAGTAGACCTGGGTTCCAAGCCCTCCTCTGATACTTAGAAACTGGACATCCACAGACCTCTCTGAGCCTCGGTTTCCTCATCTGTAAAATAGGGATAATAATACCCATTAAAGCCTACCTCCAAGGGTTCTTGTAAGGACCAAATAAGATGTAAAGAGTTTTATGAACTTTAGACAGCTAGATAAATGCCAGTTTTTATTTCATACCTAGAGTTACCCATCAGAGTCGCCATTTGTAGAGCCTGACATTGTAACTCAGCTCCTTCAGAAACTACGTGCTTCTCTAGTTCAAAATGAGTCATCCTTCCCAAATCATTTTGCAGGTTAACTCAGTCGATCTGCAGCTGCAGGGGCTGACAAGCATTGGGCAATTCTGGCCAGCAGTGAGAATGAGAATGATTTATTCAACAAACCTGTTAAGTCTTTTGTATGTTTACCTTACTTATTAATGATTTCAATTTATAGAAACTGCAAGCTCTGTTGTAATCTCCCCGCAGGGGTACAACAACTCAGTTAAAAAGATTTTATCAAATTCACAGAATTATAAAAGCAGTCAGCTGCATTGTAAAAATCAGGGTTTAAACAGGACTTTTTTTAAGAAGTTGAAAATCATTCCCTGTGAATTATCCAGGGCCAAGACAATTTTAAAAGTTAAGTACTAGAATCAGTCAATTAGCATTTACTAAGCGCCCACTGTCCACTTAAATTCCTTCACCTCACATTTGTTGTGTGAGTAAAAGAAAGTCATGGTCTCTCTGAGCCTCAGTTTTCTCATCTGTAAAAAGTGGATATTTCTAGCATTACCTGTCTCAGTGTATATTAAGGAAAAGACTTCTTCAACTCAAAATGCCATACAACTATTACAGTGTTCTCATTTTATTTTATTTAGGAGGCATAGCCCTTTTCCTTGTCAAGACTAACCCCTGTGTACATATCCTTGATTTCAACCCTTCCTAACTTATCCCAAAGATTACAACCTTGATAATCCATTTTCACTTTCAAAAATCTTTAACATCTCCTGACCTTTGGTTTTCTCCTTACTGCTGTCAAACAAGCCCAAGTCTCCTCCATTCTTAAAAACAAAAAAAAACACTGTTTTTTAACTCTTTCCATCCCCTCAAGCTGTTGTCTGATACCTTTCCTTTCTCAACCAGACTCCTAGAAAATGAAGCCATCTATGCTTTCACTTCTATTATTCATTCCTCAATACTTTGAGATCCAACTTCTGACTTAATCACTCAACTGAAGCTGTTTTCGCCAAAGTTACTAACAATCTCTTAATTGCCACATTTGATGGGCTTCTTCCTCGGTCCTCCTCTTTCTCAATCTATTTACTACATTTGACCCTTTTGACACTCTTTCTCCTGGGTATTTCCTCTTTCTTGGGTTTGTTTGTTTTTGCTTTTTGGTTTGTTTTGTTTTTGTTTTTGTTTTTTGACAGAACCATCTTTTGATTCTCCTCTACTTGTCTGACTGCTCTTTCTCAGTCTTCTTCACTAGCTCATCATTCATTTGATGCCGCCTAACTTCAGATGTTCCCAAGGTTCTATTCTAGGGCCTCTTCTCTTTTCCCTCTACATTGTCTCCTGGTAGCCTCATCAGTTCCTGTGGGTTTAACTATCATGTCTATGTGGATGAATCATTGGTCTATATATCCAGCCCAGTTTCTTCCCTGATCTTTGTTGCATACCAATTGGACATTTCAGAATGGAAGCCTTAGAGACGTTTCAAACTCAACATGTCCATAACTGAACTCATCTTTCCCCCAAAGTCCAATCTATCTTCCAAACTGTGAGATTTTTCTTAAGGATAGATCTGATCGTGTGACTCTCCTACACAATCAACTAGTCAAGTCAATAAGAAAGTAAACAAGCACTTATTAAGTATTTACTATGTGCCAGGCACTGTCATTAGGAATACAAATATAATCATAGAGATAATCCCTACCCTCAATAAGTTTACATTCTAATGGAAAACAATAATACATAAAAGGGAGTTGAAAAGAAGGGGGAGGATGAAGATAACTGGCATTGTAGAAAAAGACCAAGAGAATCAAGTGGGCTTTGAGAGGAAGGAGAACATGACTAGATTTGGCATCTTCTTAAAATGGAGGTTCTGAGAGGAACTGGCCAATCAAAGGGAAACACTTCAGGCACAGGGTTGGGGTGAGCTTCCAGGGAGAAGAGGTTTCTGGGGCTTTGCAGAGAAAGACCCAGGGTGTTATAAGTTGGGAAGATCATGTGGTGAAGATGGCCAAGAACCCTGGGTAGCATGCTGCTGAGCATCTTACTTTATTCTTCCATTTCTTTCCATCATAATTCTTGAGACAGACTGATTCTAGGACAAGTAGGGTCAATGATAATGGTGACCAGTAGAGTGAGCACTTAGTTACCCTTGATGAATTCAAGCCATCTGGTCCAGAAGAACTTTAACCTTGGGTACCAAAAGAACTGGCTATTGCTGAGCCAGTCACTAATATATATGTGAAAAATCATGGAAAATGGAAAGAAGGTTGGGGAAAAGCAAACACTGTCCCAATTTTCAAAAGAAGAAAACAGTCTACAAACTACAAGCCAATGAATTTTAATTCCTAGTGAAATTCTGTTTATTGGTGTTTAAAAGAAGGACCCACTAGATTTTCTTGGTTCATGGACTGATTGCCATGGAGCATGGCAGCTAGGATCTTGGCTACCATGTTGATGTTTTCAGAAAGCACTTTCATTTGAAAATTTCTGTAAATATTGTCAATAGTATTGATTTTATTTACTCCTGAAGTAATGCCTTGGTTTTTGTCCATTATAACTTGGCCAGTTACCTGACTGAAGGATAGTTGATGATCTCAAAAATTCAGTTAAGCTATATGTCCAAGTTGATAAAACTGAAGTTTCACTTTGACCTTGAGGAAGCAGAGCTCACAAGATGACTTCTGTCTTAAAATTTTCCTAAGTCAGCTCCTAGCCAAACAAAGTGACCTATGGGTTAATGTTCTTTTAAAAGAACCAATTTAGATTCTTCAAAAGGATCATCAGAAAATATCTTTAAAGGATTCAGCATCATCTGAATCATTAACCCAATCCAGTGGCTCCCTATCATCTCTAGGATAAAACAGAAACTTTTCTTTTTTTAGCTTGTAAAGCTCTTCACAACCAAATCCACATATATTTCTATCTTCATTAGACATGATTTCCCATTCCTCTCTCTTTAATCCAGTCTGTTCCTCACACTAGATCCTATAGCTCCCTTCTCCATGCTTTAGCACTAACTAGGTTCCACGCCTGGAACGCACACTTCCCCATCTCTGCTTCATCAAGTCCCTCTCTTCCTTTAAGACAAAGCTTGAGAACTACATTCTACATGAAGTCTTTCCTGATTCAAGTGCTAGTACCCTCCTTCCCAAACTACTTTGTATGTATTTGTATTTGTACCTATTTTCTTGACAAGTATGCTGCATAGATGCATACGTATGTATTTGTTTAGAATGTAACTTCTGGATTCAGGAGGACCTGAGTTCAAATCCTGCCTCAGACACATAACACTTGCTAGCTGTGTGTCCCTAGGCAAGTCACTTAACCCCATTGCCTAACCAAAAAAAGAAAAAAAAAAGAATGTAACTTCTTGCTAACAAAGATTATTTCATTTATTGTATCCACAGTCCCAGCACCTAGCAATTAGTAGTCAATTAATAAATGCTTACTGACTGATCAAGTGAAAGGGAAACCATGCAAGGTTCTTATGAGCAGAAAAGGGACATCATCAGTAGACATACTTTGAAAATTATAAAAGCAGCGTTATGAAGGCTTGATTGTAGAGACTAGAGACAAAACAACCAGTTAAGAAACCATTAAAATTATAATATTTATCACTAATATAGGGCTTTGCAAGCACTTTACCTATATTATCTCACTTGATTTTCATAATAACCCCATGAGATAGGTGCTGCAATTATCCCCATTTTATAGATGAGGAAACAGAGGCGAAAAAGCAGTTAAGTGACTTGACCAGGGTCACATCGATAGTGTCTGAAGAAGGATTTGAACTCAGGTCTTACCACCTAGCTGCCATTATAACACTCTGGGCAAAAGATGAGGACCAGGATTAAGGTGGTTGCAGTGGAAGTGGAAAGTGGGGGTTAGGCGCTTTTATCCTAACTTGTCTCTTCTTTCTCCTCCCATCTCAAATCTGTAGTGCAGAAACTTCTGCCCTGAGCCTCCAAGCCTAAATATAAAATCTTCTGTTTGGCATTCAAAGCCCTTCCTAACTCACCACCACTACCACTTTTCCTTTCCATTCTTCTTATACCTTACATACCCTGGCATATACTCTGTGAGCCTCTGGTGGTTATTTCCAATTTATCCTGTATATAGCTTGCTTGTACATAGCTTTTTGCATGTTGTCTTCCCCATCGTATTGTGAGCTTTGTAAGAACAGGGCCTGTCTTTTATCTTTCTTTGTATTCTGAGCACTTAGCCCAGTGCCCACCACATAGTAGGTGTTTAACTCTTATTGGCTGCCTGACTAATTTAATAATGTAGCAGATTTAAGCAGTTTCAGGCTCGCATCCTGCTACTCCCCTCTTAAAAATAAATGCAGAAGTGGTTAGAGCACTAGCCCTGGAGTCAGCAGGACCTCAGTTCAAGTCCAACCTCAGACACTTATGAACTAGCTGTGGGACCCTAGGCAAGTCACTTAACCCACATTGCCTCTAATATATATATATATATATATATATATATATATATATATATATATATATATTTTCATTTATTTATTTATCTATTTATTTGTTTGTTTGTTTGTTTGTTTGTTTGTTTATATATGCAGAGTCCAGAAGAGGACAGAAGGAATTTCAGAGGAAAACATAGACAAGCATGTCGGCTTTGGAAAAAACGTTTTTTAATTTATTACATACTTTTTAAAAATTGCATGTAATATTCATGATTTCACATATAATCATCTTTATCTGTTCTATTTTGCATATGGAAATGTTATTTTTTATGTTCATTATATTAAAAACATTTTAATTAAAAAATATATCCAGAGGTAAAAACTGTGAAGTCTATAGCCTT